CGTATTTGAGATTTGGGATCTTAGCTTCTGGCACCGCGCTGTGAGGTCGTTAGAAGCTAAGATTCCAAATCTAGGCCGTCTCAGGCTAAAAAATTTCCTGGATGAGGGTGCCAATGCAACTCTATAGAAACCTCCATCAAAATTTGAAATTTTGGAAAGCTCCCAGCAAGAAAATATCTGGAAGCGCGGGAGGAGCTCCCGGCCACTTCACGAGCTCAGTTGCGCAACTTCCCGGCAGCTCGTCGAAATTTGCGAGGTAGCAGCTGCCGGCAGGTCAGAGAGCACGAGAAATAGCATGCTCTTTTGGGAGAGAAAGTTGCCGGCAGCTCGACGTGCCCCTACCACATCGAGGTGCTGACACCTTGCTGGACATCAACTGTCAGAAAAATCCATTTTTCATCAAAAACCATCATTTTTGTCATTATATGGATTGTTCCTCGTTCAATCCTGTAGAAAAAGTGACTAGTAATATTATAAAACTAAAAGAACGCCATCTTTTTCTTGCAATTCCTTTGAATCTTGTTTGCAAAGCTTTCGCCTGCCTCTTGCTCATATTCAGCTGTTCTTTCAGGTCAACGCCCATCACGCAATGTATTGATCCCGCCCTCTCACAAGAGCGACCTTTCTGTGCGCTTCTGTCATTGCCGTCGCACACATTAAAAACTGACCGCATGGTTGAATGGTTAGTGCTGCGGCGCTCAAAGTTGACGCATGCAGGTTCGAACGCGCTTAAAGCAACTATTTGGCGGCTGCCTGCGTTATCAAAATTTCATGCGCATAGTGCATGCGAATTGAGATCACATGAGGTTATTAGAACCTACAATCAATTTGCGAGCTGCCGCCGGAGTTGGCAACCTTCCGCGATGTGTGCCAAATTGCCGGCCTATGGTGCGACCACTCAGATAATCGCCGGGGCAGGCGGTCCGCAAGATCGCGCTTTTCTGCAAGCGGTCACCAGAATTTTGGGGCGTGGCCAAACCTTCAGCGAACGGTACTTCCTTTACTGTCTGATGTTCTGCCAGCGGGCAGCAACACAGAATTTTCTGCAGGCGCTAGTAAAATCATCTCTTTCAGCAAACGCTGGCCGAACTTCCAGAAGGCGCTCGGACTCTTTTTAGGCACTTTCGGGCTTACGTCGAGCACACACAGATAATCGCCGGGGGCAGGCGGCCATGCGAATTATGGGCGGGCGGGCACCGGAAAAATAGTTCGCTGATTTCTTGCGGTCCGCTTGCAGATAGTTGGAAGGATTCTAGCGAAATTTTAGACGAATGCTTGAAGAACAATCGCAGTTTCCTTATAGATTAGCTGCGGCGCAGTGGCCGCACTCTCGCGGACTTTCCGCGAGAATATGCAAAATTTTTGGGGCCGCGCGGTCCTTTGTGGAGGACCGCGCAGTCCCCATGTACTTTCCGCTGAGAGGAAGTACCTCAAACTTGAGTAATTAAACAAGCGGTGACACCTCTGCCACACAGAGTCTTACCTGTGCTCGACGTATGCCCGAAACTGCGTAAAAAGAGTCCGAGCGCCTGCTGAAAGCTCGGCCAGCGTTTGTGGAAAGATTTTATTTGACGAGCGCCCGCCGAAAATTCTGTGTTGCTGCCCGCTGGCAGAATATTAGACAGTAAAGGAAGTACCGCTCGCTGAAGGTTTGGCCAAGCCTCAACATCCTGCTGACCGCTTGCAGAAAAGCGCGAGTTTGCCAACCGCCTGCTCCCGGCGATTATCTGAGCAGGTAAGACTCTCAGAGATGTCACCGTTGGTTTAATTACTCAAGTTTGAGGTACTTTCTCATAGGGGAAGTACCTGGGGGCTGCGCGGTTCTCCACAAAGGACCATGCGGCCCTCGAAAATTTTGCATATTCTCGCGGAAAGTCCGCTAGAATGTCCGCCGCAGCTAATCTATAGAGAAACCGCGATTGTTCTCCAAGCATTCGTCTAAAATTTCGCTAAAATTCTTTCAAATATCTGCAAGCGGACCGCAAGAAATCAGCGAACTATTTTTTCGGTGCCCGCCCGCTCACAAATCGCATGGCCACCTGCGCCCATGGCTGATTTCTCGCACCTGGGTAAAGGAAGGAACTCGCGTTGACAAACTTTTTCTGAAATATTGTTTTTTTATCGAAAGGTCTATTGAGGAAGTTCCGTAAACTTTTTCGCGGATTTTTTGGAAAGTAATCAGAATTTTCGGAACGCCGCTTGCTGAGTTCTCGATTCCTCAGAGATTCAGCAATATATCTGCAAAAGATAAGAGCGAAAAAAATTCAACAGGCGGTCTCTCAAAAATCCGCTGACTCAGCAAGCGGTCTTCCGAAAAGTCCTGATTGTTTTCCGAAAAATCCGCGAGCGGGGTGCGAGAGATCAGCAATCTATTTTTCCGGTGCCCGCCTGCCCCCGGCGATTGTCTGAGTAGGGTAGATTACTGCCGGCCCTAGTCTTTGTGGCGCAGGGTATGCCTAGCACAGCAAATTAGCAGCTGGAGGTTACTTTGATAAGTTTTTCTATTTTAAGTAGTTGGCAGTCTTCTGTATTTTCAGGATATACATATACAATGCTGGCGAAAAGTTTGCCTCCACCCTCAAAACTGCTGTGTGCTTGCTTCGTTGTACAGATGGTGAGCCCTAATTTAACTATCGGTGCAGTATATACTCAAGGTCGATAATATTGCAAAAGATAGCGAAAACATGCACACGTGTTACAACCCCGATCCAACAAGAGATGACTTAGCTGGATAGCTCGAACATATGGCATGCTGATTCATTTTTGAATCCCAAATCATGACACGTTGTGAGCCTCTCTCAAGCTGCGAAGAACGCATGGCTATGTTACAAGCAGGATCTACCGCCAAGGCGTGGAAATCGGTTAAACGCATTTTGCTGTGGACAAGGCCCCTTTGCGTGGTCTGTCAGGCCCCTGGCATTTCAGGCATCGATCTCATCTTGTCAAGAACGAACTCTCACAAGATTGCCAAGGCGAAGGGACGTTCAGCGGCACCCAGCCTCCTGACTTGTGACAGGGTAAGCATTATCGTTTTGCGTTGAACTCTAACATCCATTACACATAAGCGGGTTCAACTACAGATCAAACGCTCTGTCCGAACGGTGCGCGCCGTTGCACGAAATAACAAAATCTCTAGGCTTCATTAGCTTTTGCCAAAAAACATTGGGATGCAGATCGACTGGAGCATTTGGTTGTCAAAATGTCCGGTCAGACAAAAACAAGTTCAATCTTGACGGTTATGGTTTGGCGCAGTGCCATTACAATCTATCGCAAAAAACCACGTTATTTTTCCGACAATCTTAGTGGAGACAGACGGGGTGGTGTGGGAGAATTTTGAAGTATTGGGTAATCTTCCTCCTCGTCTAACACAGCGACTAGCAGAAATCAACAATGTTCATTGACTTTGTGGAGTATTAGTATTAGTAACAGGTTTTCTTTATACAAGATAATGCAAGTTTACAAGAGGAGCGACGCTGCTGTATTTGTCAACCACATTCAGGTGTTGCTAAGCCTCGTGCACTCCTGATCTTAATACCGATAGAAGAACTCAGAGCTTTAATGTGAGTGGAGTTTGCCGCATTTCAGGCGGTTTAATTTGCAGTTCAAAAAAGCTGTTTTGTGCGCTTGGACCAACAGGCCCTTTCAGATCTCAGCAATGTAACTAGCAATTTTTCTAAGCGGCTCGTCAAGATTGTTAGAGCAGGAGTAACGCGAATGATCTCAATGCTTTTTTGTTGAGTGATTTGTTGTTTTCAGCATCTGCACGTCTCGTCCGAACTCTCCTAATGTCTATACATTTTCTGTATTCCGGAGGGCTGTTGAAGATCTTCGATCTTAAATGCAGTAAAATCGATCGTTGTATAAAGTTTGGAGGCGTTTCATTCATTGAAGGCCGCTGAAGCAGAAAATTTGTGTGGTTGCAAAGTTTCGGCTAGAATTTCAAATTTTGCCAAGCCTATAATCTCATTTGTTCTGGTTGCGCTCAGTGTGGTTTTGCGGGTACGGGTGATACGCAACGAGGTGTACAAACTAAGCAAGCGCTTAGCTTGCAAAAACATTTTGATGCATTCGAGATGCAAATTAGCGAGCGGCAAGGGGTGCTGAACCCACCAAGCCGCAGAGGCAATGTTTTTTTTTGAACCGGGTAGCATGGCGCTTGCTTAGAGTCAACATACTTTGTCCATCACATTTGCATTTTCTGTATTGTGTTTTTGTGTTTTCGTGATCTTTGGACGATAGAAAAAAAAACAAATTTTTATGAGCTTCATTCTTAAACAGCAGTCTTTTTCATTCAATAATAATAATCGTCTAATAGACCGACGTCGACGCTTCTCTAACTCCATCTGCAGGCATCTAGGACAACATTAGGCAATACCTAAAATATCTTAACGTTAGTGCTTTCAAAGCACTGAAGAAGAAGTGATAATTATAGAATGTGCATTATCCAAACACCATCAATCTACAGTTATCATCCTTCTTTCCAAGTTTTGTGATGTTCAAGTGGTTATTGGCTCAAATTTGAGTATCATTTTGAAACTCTCTCATTTTAACCAAGTAGTGTTTAATTTTTGAGGGATCATTTGTAAAAATTATTCAAAAGATTTGAAGCGGTATTTATCAATCTCCTATTCAGAAGGGGTTCCTGAATAGGTCGCAGTCTGTACAGGAGCGGGATTTGTACCGACGGCACATAGCGTTGTTAAATTGCTGTTGGGACTCGTGCCTGTTTGAGAACCTGCGGAAGATACGACGCGCTGGCAACACGAGCAGGCACGTGCCAAAAACTTCTACTGGCGTATGGAGATCCTAGACACATAAACACTATGATGTTCTTGCATTAATTTTATTGTTGAGTCACTCCGAGATTGATAGTTATATGCGGTACAATACTCAACATGCCAAAATTCAAATAAAGTCGCATTCTTCGATTTCTATAATTTCCTTTCTGATCGTGGCAGTTCCCTCCTTTATTTTCTGTTTTCATGCGTTGTGATGTCATATTAGCATGCACGATTGGAACCATCTCCCCAAAAATTATACGATGCGGCCAATAAAGTCCTAGATACCAGTTACATTGTTTTATTTGCCAACCCGTTAACTTAGGTGAAAATTTATTTTATATAAAAGCCGCTTAATCTGCCGTATGTCGAGTTTGTTCATTACGAAAATACCGTTAGGAATGATTTACACTACTTTGAAGCTTGGGAAAGTCGCATAACAAGGTATACACGATTCATAACACGCAAAGACTGGGCGCCGTTGCGTCCGGCCAAGATAGTTCTTGCATGGGAGAGACAGTAGATGGTAAGAGAAACAAAAGAGCGCTCGATCGGAGAGACGCCGATACGTCCGCAGTCTTTGCGTGCTATGAATCGCCCATAGATTCATTTTGTTCGGCATTAGTTGGTGCTGGTTCAACTGAGGAATGAATGAAAACCATTGCTCAAGCTTTCCTGACCGTACTCAGATATCTGCTTATTTTTCTGCCTATGTTATAAATGCTCTTATACCCAGAACTCAAGTACAATGTATGGCAAAACATTGCTATAAAAGTTAAGGTTTGCATTGTTTTGTGTGATCCCCTAAAGGATGTTGAAAAAGAAAAAAAAGAAAAAGGAAACCTTGACTAGCAAAAACCTGAAAAAAAAACTTAACTTTAGCAAATCACCCCTTGTTCCAAAGTTGTTTATTTTTCTAGGAAGTCACTGCTTTGTAAAGATATACTAAGGAACTAATGTGGCACTGCTAAAGATGCTTCCGACAAATCAGATGGATTGTGCAGCTTGTAGCTTTTTCGATGGACCTTTGCTCGCGAACAATGACTCCCGATGATCCGATATCCAGAAATTTTACTAGTTTCTATTACAACTATATTTAGCAGTGCCATAGTATATCCTTGGCACAATTTTCAGTTTTCGTAGTGTTTGTAGGAACATAATGAATTTGAAAATGTGAGGTGATCCCTTATGGAGCCCATAAAAGTTGACACGAAATATTAGAAAATTCAGCTTGTATGGCAGTGTTTTGTATTCATTATACTCAAAATCAGTGTAATCGTCCATAAGATAGATAGAAGAAAATTACAGATACTGGAGTAGCGAGATATGAAATGTCTCCTCCCAGACCCCTTCCTCTCCCCACGGCACTCGCGTACGGGCCCAATGGCAAGAATTGCTACATGTTAAAAGTTGAGCCGACTTTGGGAGTGATCGAGGTACCAGCTTATACACGATCAAACTTTTGATGAAGCTATCTAACCTCTTCGCCAGGTCGTAGATGGCTTTATAGTGCTCCATAAATTGGAAACATCCATATCTTTGAGCGAGGACGATTTCCGTTGTTTGTTGTATTCCAACCTGCAAAACATCTCGTATTCGGTTTATGAGCATGTAGGAAGACAGCAGTTGAATTGCAATCGTGGCTGAGGCCAATGCTTTCATGAGATAAAGTACTATGTTCGTATGCATTACAGAGAGGAGGGTTCCACGGTTCCTGGTGCGATGTGTAAACACCAGTCAACAATCGCCCGAGACAGGGACGTATGGAGGCATCACTGGTACCCGCTCGTACAACACGATGATCAAAGGGGATACAGGTGATACACAAAGGAGATAGAACTTTACCACAGAAAAAAGTTTTTGAAATGGCAATAACACAAGAAACAGCACACTTTCAGTTTCCAACCATTTGACGATGTTCGAAAGGTTAAAGGCAGTGATCGGAAAAATCGAAAATCTCGAAATTTTTATATGGAATTGTTAATTGCACCCCAAACATGATAACGGAGCAGGTCCGAGTGCATGCTGCCCTGCCTAGAAAATTAAACCTGTGCGCACAAGCCATTCTTCTCACAAGGGAACGATACTCGGTGTCCGTGGCCTTTTGAAATGAGATGTATACTATTACACTCGCCTTGGAACCGTGATTCCAAATCCTACTTCCGTTTCTGCTAATCGCTTCAAAGATGTTATCATGGATTGCGCGGAGTTTGGCTGCCCAGTGAAAATCTGTCGGAGCACGAATGCCATAGGTGCGCTGTGGTCTAGTGGTTAGTGCGATAGCCTCATGAGCTGATGCAAGTCTAGGTTCGAGTCCTTTTGTGTTTTTTAGTTTTGCGTTGCCTCAATTAACCTTCTTTCACATCCTCAAGTTAAGTGAACGCTCTTACTCTCGAAAAAATGTGGAATTTTGGAAGAAATGACTACTGTTTACGCTAAAATATATTCAATGGTCATAATTCGAGTAAAGCTTTCTCGAACAAGCTTAATTGAGGCAAAAGTAATGCAAAAGTAAAAACGCAAAGGATTTGAACCTACATCAACTTATGAGGCTATCGCACTAACCATTAGACCAGAACGTGGTCGCGGGAGGCCGTTCCAATGACCATATTTCCCTTAAGCGGGCAAACTTGGATCGAAATTCCTTCATAACTTCTTTCAGCGAAACGATTAGCAGAAACGGAAGTCAGATTCGGAATCAGCGCTCGAAAACGAGTGTAATGGTATACATCTCGTCTCAAAAAGCCACGGACATTGAGTATCGTTTCCTTGTCAGACGAGCTAGCGATATCCCTCACATGCCGTAATGCTATAAACATGAGAATCCCACAACGACACTACGTCTCTGATCATGGCGGGAAGCGTACCACACGTCCACTTTCAAAATAAGGGGCTTTGGAAAATGATGGTTTTCGCCATTTTCGCGCTCCTGAAAGTGGATTTTCGGAAACAGCGCGCGAATTAACCAGGAAGCGAAAAAACCACAGGTCGAGGAATTGCCGATCCACCGCCTTTAAAGATGGAGAGCTGATTCAAATCACATATCTAAGCTGCTACATGGATGTGTCGGGACGCAGCTAGCTACAACAGCTGCTCGAGAAGGAGGTTGGCCTAAGACAGCCAACCTCTGGCAGTGACCTCCGGCCGCCAGCACTAGCCGGTGGCCTTCCCCTTCCCCTTCCCCCCCCCCCCTTTTGTACATAACTATTTATAATAAATATTATAGTAAGACTTATGTAAACCCGCTACACATCAGGTAAGGGAATAGCTAACCCTTATACCTGACATGGAAGTCCCGGGAAGATTTTTTTCTTTTTTGAGCTATAGTCAAAATTTTTGTTTCTAAAAAAAACAAAAAGAATTTTTCACCCCTCGACATCCATATCGACAACAACTTCCACCCAAGTCAAGCGAACGAATGTGTGAGTGTTTTTTTATTTATCTAATTATAATGACGACTAATAGTGTGCTGTGATTATAAAAATTTTCCTTCCTTTTTCTTGAAGGAAGCTAATATTTCAGAAAAAAAGGTACCGAAAGAAAAACTGCATTCACAAATGTGGTGATGGCCTTTGATCGAGTCAATCTCAAAGTTACCATCACCGAATATACTAATGATCTTTGATTGAATTTTTTCGTAGACACATCCTACCGTAGTCCAGCGAGCAGTCCCATTTGTCCCCAATTTTTTAAAGATAATGATGCATCATTTAGTTATATATATATTACCATGAAGCGCAAAATCAACATTTAGCAATTATATGTAAGTGACTGAAAAAAATGTAAATTTTTTTATAAACAGTTCCGCATAGTCATAACTGAGCCAAATCTGTGTATCTTCAGAATCCCTTTGCAAAACTGAATTTTACAAGTAAAATTCATTCTTCTGCGGTCTCGTGTATTTGAACTTTTGCTCTAATTCACGTTTTTCTTTCGATGTTTTCACATATTTCCGTAATTTTTAGAGTATTGCGAATTTATTGCATCGGGTTTTTAGATCACAAACGCATTTTCTCTTTAATTTTAGACATGGACTTGCTCGTTCGTAGCTACAGTACAAAATCTGCAGTATAACTCATCAGGAAAGATAGTATCTGCCGACATATCGCATACCCGGCTATTACAAATGGCCTAGAGCTCCAAATCCTTTATGCTAATCCGTTCCGGCAACTGTCTGCGCGCGTTCAAAATAGCAGTAAATCTGGTGACAAATGTAGAAGCTAGCAACTGCTGACCTTAGGGCCTGACAAATATCCCTATGCGCCTGTTGAATATTCGGATGAAGGTTTAGTCAGCAAAATCAGCAAAAGTCAGCAAAAGTCAGCAGATAAGGTTTAGTCAGCAAAATCAAGGTTTTGGCTGAAAAACATTTTCTTTTGGAAACAGACAAAACATTTTTCTCACTGTAATGAAGACATCTTTTTCTTCCGACAACTCGTATGCACTTCTAGAAAAATATATCATTCTGAATCAAAACTCTAAGTTCCATTGGTGCTATTATTCTTTCCAGATTTTGGAAAAACAGTTTTCACTTAAGCAAAGATAATCTAAATTAAAATCTCAAGCATAATTTCAAAAATCAATATCATTTTTTCAGCCAAAATTTTGCCAAGTTTTCCTACTTTTGTCACTGATAGGTCTAATACAGATCTATAGTGAACTCTGTAAACTAATCATTGATAAAAACTTTCATCTGTTGTGACAGAACATGATGTTAAGTAAATGAGATTGAAAAAAACCTAAAGCTGCTCAAATTTGTTGAGAGCACGACTTCAAACATTTTCGATCCGAAAGGAAGTCGCTTATTTGCTCAAAAAAAGCGCTTTTGCGGACATGAATTTTGCTGCGTTAGCGTTAAAATCAACCTTCAACAAAGGTACGATTGCAATGGAAAAAGGATGTTGAGATGCTCATACTTCTGAAACATCGCTGTTAGAGCATGTTCCATGACCTCTTATTATTTGCATGATACAATTAAATGGAGCATTTCCACAAGTCAGTTTGAACGTTTGTTGAAAAAAGTCATTTCCTTTCGCCCATCAAAGAAGGTAGATTATTTATTTCGATATTGATTTTCTTTTTTTCAGTGATTTTCTTCAGTGAGAACCAGTTTTCGTAAACTGCACTGCTAATCGTGATTATCAGAAATAACTACATGCTTTTTCCTGGTGCACAACTGTCTAAGTGCTGTCTACCTCAATCATAAGGGACAGTCAGTCACTGCAACCAGAAGAAACGCCGCAACTATACATTGCGTAAAAAAATTAGGCGGTTACTTGTCTTTCGAACTTTAGGTCCGTGCGCTTACACAAAACCAACCATGCGCTAAGGTGCCCCATATGTGAGAATATCGCGCAGTTAAGGCAGCGGTAGAGGAGACTATGACTAAGAGAATGGCTATAGTAGAATATTTCAAAGCGACTACTCCTTAATATTATAAATCATCTAGTTGCTGCGTGGTGAACAGTAAACATTAATTTTTATGATGAAAGCCAAAAGTGCCTATTTCTAGTTTCTTGACAACTTTGAAAATTTTTTCAAAAGGTTCTCAGTATGTTTTTTTTCCATGGGTTTTATTTTATGTGATGCCACTCATCTCACCCAAACACTGATCAAAGTGAAAAGTAATTGGAGATTTTGTCTGCTGGGCGAATCTGACATAGAAAAACTACTGAAAAATTCCATCTGGAGAACCAATTGAAATTCATTCCCGCTCACTCGAAACTTAGTCGTTTCCGTATCAAGATTCTAAATTTGCTTCACTCATATCACTTGGTTATCTATGGATTGTCCAAAGCAGATCAGCCTATTGAAAAAAAATTGTAGGTAATCTTCGATTTTTTCATATTTTTCACCAAAATCAAATTGTCCACTTTCCCGTCTATGTCAGATAAATTTCTAAAGATATAATAATCAAACTCTTAGTGTAAAATCAGAAACTATATTTTGCAAGCTCAATAAAATAAATTTGAAATCATCAAATGTTTTGGTATTCAAAAAAAAATTTTTTTGCGGGTCATTTAGCTCTGATTTGTTGACATTTCACGGCATAGAACTGAAAAAGTGTCGCTTTTGAGCACGATAGTGATGAGTGAAGTTGTTTGGTAGCATATTTCGCTTTTTGATCAAAAGAACAACATGAAACGTAATTTAAAGATGTCGCTTTACGGCCATTTTTATTCATGGAAAAATTTATGGATTGTTCATGGCATCACGAGTTGCATTGAAAGGAGTTTCCATACATAAAAAGGTTTATTTTGATTCTGTCGATATGCATACAACTAAGTCGGAAACCCTGATCAAGGAAGTACGTATAGCTTATGCTTTAGCATGTGATGGTCAGGACTTTGTTAGAGAAACATAAGGAAAACTGAACACAAAACCTGAAAAGATTTTTGTCCTGTCAAAGGTTATTTATTTGAATTTGCACTGAAACTTTTTCTCCATAGCAAAGGTGCGTTTTCTTTTGTCAAAATTTCTCTCAGATTTCCTTGACCCTGACAGAAAGAAAGTAACACCCCAATTTTCTATTTTAGTTTGAAATAATAGTCATGGAGAATAAAGTCCCTACTAAACCGCGCGCCTGCTGGGAAACTGGCAATATTTAGCAACTTGCTTGCAAAACGAAAGTTAAAAAGTTTGCAAGAAATATGCGCTACGCTACCTAAGGTGTTATTAGACAGTACATTTCCTTGAACTAAATTTTTTTGTGCACATCGCAATTGTTTTATTGAAATAATGTCTAACCTTCAAAAAATATATGCAAATAATAATATAATTTTAAAAATTATATCCATTTAAAAAAAAGTCCTGCGAACAGTCCCAAAGGTCAAAATGAATTTTCCCAAATCTAAATTCAATTATAATTCCAAGATAAACTATTTCGATAACCGAGAATCCGAGACCCGAGAACCGAGAACCGTGATTTCTAGATAGTATTAATTTTATCCCCATCATTTTTTTTTCACTTTTATATCGTAAAATCTTTTTTTTAACCGTAAACTTTTTTTTCTCCCACATTCATTTTCGTAAATAGCATTTATTCCAAGAACCGAGATCCGAGAACCGAGACCCGAGATCCGAGAACCGAGACCCGAGATCCGAGAACCGAGATTTTCGAAAAGTTTTCTTTTTTTTTTATAAATCTTCATCAGCCTATGGACTTGTTCGCATTAGCTAGCTTAAAATAAAAATCTGCAGTAAAATAAGGCCCTACACAAATATTTTTATTTTTGTTAGGCGCTCTCATAAACCAAGTCGCTGTTACATCTAGCGCAGAATGCTGACCTCCAAACCTCACTCATTTAAGAGTCGCATCCTGTTTTCGAAGATTCATTCCCCGTTTTGCCATTACAGCGAACCTCTTGGATAGTCTTCTTATAAAAGATGCAGGGTTTACTGGAAAGAGGATCATTAAAAAGCATTCTTCCCATTGTCGGCGCATGGCCCCTACAAGTCAATCCGGAGACTGGTAGTGAACATCTAATAGCATGCAGCCGTCCACTAACAAAACACGAGAAGGACTATGCGATTACAGAACTAGAAGCCCTGGCTATACTTTTCGCTTTGGAGCATTTCTATCCCTATGTCACCCATAGTTCAGATCTCGTGGGTCGTCTCGCCAAATATAGAATCACCTTACAGGCGTACGACTTCAAGCTTGAGTATCATGCTGGAAAGCACAATACTCTATGCGATTTCCTTAGTCGCTATCCTATTGCGGAAATAGCGCACAGGTGCATACAGTACCATCTTTGGTCATATCCAGCAATCTCAGAAGGATTCCATTCATGGAGACCTCATCAAGTTCTACAGCGCAGAGCTGGATTTCCACCATTAGGATTTTCCGACAATTTAGGCAGGTAATCTCTCTATTACATTTTTCACAATACATCTCTATAGATTATTCTTGATAAGGCCTGTCAAGATAAAATCATTGAGATCTTCGCCAAACCCAATCTTGGGATCGCCTTTAGGAGTGCGAAAAAACCAAAAAAAAAAGCATATCTGCTAAATACTTTTAGAAATTTACAAACTCTTGTCAGAAAGTTTATTTGAAACTGCCCAACTTGCCAGAAAATCAAATACCTTCTGTAAACATCATTTGGAGTGAATTGGGTTTATTTCCAATTTCCCAACGACCTTTAGAACGTTTGCATACGGATATTGTTGGTCCTTTACCATCGTGTATCAGCGGCAGTCGATTTATTTCTATTACCGTCTGTGCGTTTAGCAAACTCGCTACCTGCATCGCAATTCCTAAACAGACAGCAGATCCTGTTGTCAAAGCTATGGTAAACGGTGTCATAGCTAAACACGGCTTTCCTTATGAACTAGTGCTCGACCGTGGTTCTAATTACACTAATGAAATGTTTGCGAAAATGAACCGAGCAGTTGGCATTTCCAACATGTTCACCACAAAGTTACAACCACAAAGCAGACGGGCAAGTCGAAAGGATGGTTAAAGTGATTACAGACTCTCTAACGGCTTACTGTCCAAAAGCCAAAGAGCTATGGTCTGATTTTCTGCAGCCGATCTTCTTCGCCCACAACACTAGTATCTAACCGATATCACAGGAAATAGCCCGTACTTCGTTGTGTATGGTCTTCACCCGATCACCTGGTGCGACATAGTCCATCAGTTACCATCGAGGATCTCTTACGCAACCGATAGTTTCACGGACCAGCTGACCACTGCACTGCAAACCACAATTATGGAAGTTGGCAACCAGATCGCCAGCAAAACAGCGACGTATAAGTCAGGTTATGATTTCCATAATAAAGTTTATTCTAAGGGAATTTCCACTGGAGATTTGGTATTACTAAGAGACGACACTATTCGTCCAAAATTTACATACCAGTGGAAAGGCCCCTTTTATGGTTGTGCAAGTCGATCGTCCGAATGTCACTATATCTAACCTGATTGGACCTACTAAAACTCAATGTGTCCATATGAATAGACTCAAAATCTATTCTCATAGTTCAACATTGGCTAGAGTTTCCCCCAAAAACTTACTATATCACATAAGCCAACGGAAACTCCAGAAAATGTTGAACAAACTCAGACTGCCAAACGAACTCCTCGTTTGCAACTGCAGAAAACATTTACAGCGGATCCAAACATCGATTCCGAAGGAGAGGATGAATAATTGCTCGCTAAATTTTTATAAACATTCGATATTTTGCAATAAGCAGTTATTTATTCTCTAAGGTCAGTTTGTTTCCCCTTTTTTTGCTGCAGCGTCGCGTATTTGCGTACCTTAAAAATTTCTTTGAACAGGCAATTCAAAGAAAACTTTCGCATTAGGCAACTCAACAAAAAAACCCCTTTATGTAACAAACAAATTTTGCCCTTATGTTGAATGAAAAAAAAAGTGTGCAGTGCCCAATTTAACATATGAACTCGTTACGCCTCTGTTTTACATGCAATTATTCACAGAAAATGTTACTGTGAACAAAATTTTGTAATTTTGTAAAATTACAATTGAATTATGTTTTATAATTGCCTAGAAATTACTGTTAAAATTTTTCTGCGTATATGTATCATGAATTTATCACTAATTTACCATAATTATCACCGTAAAACTATTTGGTGTTAACCAGTTTTTTTTCCATATCATCTACTTCGTATGTTCAGTAATTTCATACTACAATTTTTCTACATGCTGTTAATTCCACCCCAAATGTTAAATCATTTGCCCTTCGATCAACTCCATTTTTACCATGCCCTAAAAGCAATCGGTCCATCTCCATTTCCTACAATTCCATTCCAACTCCTTCCCAGCATCATGTCGGGAACCCCATTCACACAACTGCATCTCTCCGCAGTTCCTCCCCCTCTCCTCAGCTACCTTCAAGCTCGAGGACGATCTTACTCAACGCCATAGGATATTCTAGGTGAAGGTCGTGTCTGCTCGCAGTCCACCGGATCCATATCCTCACATCTGTATGTATTTTAACATATCATAACGCCAACTGTACGTTCTCGCCGTAAATCACGTGTAAATTCCAACACACGTTACTCGGAAGAACTTCTGCCATATCTCGATATATCACCACTTCATTTTTATGTTCTCGCCGTAAATTACGTGCAAACTTCAACGCACGTAACTCGGAAGAACATCCACCACATCAACGCCAACCACTACAACGTTCGAAACCTCAGCCATGCCATAAGCTCGAGGACGAGCTTCTCGAAGGAATGGAGATGTCGGGACGCAGCTAGCTACAACAGCTGCTCGAGAAGGAGGTTGGCCTAAAACAGCCAACCTCTGGCAGTGACCTCCGGCCGCCAGCACTAGCCGGTGGCCTTCCCCTTCCCCTTCCCCCCCCCTTTTGTACATAACTATTTATAATAAATATTATAGTAAGACTTATGTAAACCCGCTACACATCAGGTAAGGGAATAGCTAACCCTTATACCTGACATGTCGGGACGCAGCTAGCTACAACAGCTGCTCGAGAAGGAGGTTGGCCTAAGACAGCCAACCTCTGGCAGTGACCTCCGGCCGCCAGCACTAGCCGGTGGCCTTCCCCTTCCCCTTCCCCCCCCCCTTTTGTACATAACTATTTATAATAAATATTATAGTAAGACTTATGTAAACCCGCTACACATCAGGTAAGGGAATAGCTAACCCTTATACCTGACAGATGCACCAACTTTAAAATAATTTGTTGGCGATAGAAACGACATTGCATTCGCTCATATAGGGACCCAGCTCAAAATTAGGTCGGTTATCTTTAACTGGATTCTTTAAGCTTCTATTCAACAAAATCGACCTTCTATATGTTCATGCGTTAACAGCATGAGATACGATTTTTGGCAGAAGTCTTGATCAGAAGTTCCGAAAGCGAAGATACCTTCTTTTCTTTAGCAATTCTTGTTAGAATGATATCAAGAGCGGCGTAGGTGCCGCAGCGAGTGACACCACTCGCGCAAACCAGAAGTATCGGTCCATCCTTCCGTGGCAGCAGCTTCTCCATTGCTTGTACCTACAACAACTTTTTTTGCTCAATCTTACTATGTCCATGTGAGAAACATTTGAAGGTTAAACCCTACGCTTTCTCTGAATTCTATCAGATTAGGCACTACTAAGTCATCCTTCCATTCCTTATAAATAACTATGGGCAAACGTAGTATTTCTTTTTTTCGAGCGCAAATTTGTATTCCCACGATATCAGAGCATTGTCCCTGTAGTCTTTGTAATTTCGATAGTTTAAGCGCACTGAACTTACCTCAACACAAGCCTGTATTATTGTGACACTGTTAGGGTACGTCTTCTCCGTTTCTGGCCAAAAACGCTTTATCGCTGGTCCACTACCACCCTGCATATGCGTTCAAACGATTACAAAAGTTCAAGAAAAGTTGGAAATTAGTAAACCTGCAGAGATCCAAGCACAACAATAAATGTCGGTTTTACATCGATAACCATTCTCCAAAATAGCTCTTCTGTTGTGGAAGAATATGGTGCTTGTGAAAGTATATAACCTCCTGAATTGTAGAGTGCTGATTTGAAATGGTTGGTTTGGTTGGTTGGTTGGTTTGTTCGATTGTTAAAAAAGTAATTGAGGATATACTCAGTCCGCAGAGAAAAGTATACAGTACAGCTCAAAGGTCGTGCAAAATTTTAGTGAGTCGCGAAAATCCGAAAATTCCGCGAAAGTCCACGACATTTCCAGAATTCCGCTACATTTAGGGAATTCCACGAAATTCGCGAAAATTTGGGAACTAAGCGAATCACACTATGCAGCGCCATAAGTTTTTTTAAAAATGAAATTCTGAAACCGGAAGCAGCAATCGTTAATGCGATGCGTTGCGTTCAATCGTTAAGGCGACTCTTTTAATGTAAAGCATGCCCTTAATATTCCATTCCCAGTTTCCTCAAAGTTTTCTGCGGAGGTCTTTTAGCAAGGATGTAACGCATGCGACAACTTATATGGTCCGATCAAAAAGTGTGCCATGGGTAAAACTTCAAGAGAATACACATCTTGAGTTATGCTATGATCCCAATGTGTTTGCAAAAAGGATGCAGCGCTGAATGGTGGATTTCGACGACATCTCAGTTACAGTAGTACTTAAAGATTACACAGAATTTTCGGTATTATCCGTTACCCGGACCCATCCCTCAAAAGTATGCCTTTTTTTGTACCAGATTTGATCAAAAGTCCACAAAATAGAAAGTCATTTGATCAAAAGTTCACAAAATAGAAAGTCAACCTCTTGCCACGTGCCAAAAAGATTCGCATGTTTTCTACATATGTGACAGGTTTACCAAAGGTTTGTCTGGCCTACGTACCAATGTAAATACATATGTCCAATCTGTTTCTTAATTAAGTGACCCCGTTTCTAGTCAAAAGTTTTAAAATGAACATTAATAAAGAAGTAATACGTTGTTTTCATTGAGCTTTGCCCAAAACGGAAAAGTCGGATACTGTTCAGTCATTCAAGCGAGGATACAAGCGGCAGCCAGGTACTTTTTGTATTTATTTCTTTCCTGGCTAAATTCGCATGGCGATTTTTGAATTATTGCTGAAAGGGACCAAGGTGATTTAATAGACGCTTTGGACGTTATTGCTTTTACGGAAAACCACTGAACGCCTTTGAGTCATTTGAAATGTCCTCGTGCTCCACCGAAAATTATTTTATCAGAAAACATGTCAAAGTGAGCAAACTGGGCCTAAACATATTAACTTTATCTTGCCAAACCGTAAGGAGACAGCTTTTATAGAACCTGACGAAAATTTTCCAAGCTAAAGCGCGAATCTCCTGAGAACATTTTGAAAAATGAGTCCGGATAATCGTCGAACTCTCTTATACTCAATTTCAAACAAACCCTGTTTTAGTGGTGCTTTTCATAAAGGGCCGCGTATATATGATGCGAAATCACGCCTCGCCACATTCCAACAAGACTGGCACAATTTCAGTGCGTGTCGATCATCTTGTCTTTCGGTTGTGGTAGTTTTACGAAGAGAATAATCACGACCAACTAAAGGGCCGAGAATGAGAGCTCATCAAAGGCAGTGTAGGGAGCACCAGCATCTCCGCTCCTGCGCGGCCGCTTCGCCCGATCTGCACCTCTTTCGCGAACATGCTCCCTGAACCACTTTTCCATTGCGAACGTGGGAAAGGCGGAGCCTCAATCGATTGAATATGATTATACAGCATGTTTGAGGAAAAGGTGCAGAGTCCCGTGCGGAAGTGGGAATACTGGTGCACACGACACTGCAACTGCTAAGCCTTATGCATCACGTCACTTCATTGTCCCGGGATTCTCCCAAAAAGACAATGACTCCATTGCATGTCAATCATCTTGCACTGCGGTTGTGATAGTTAGTCGCGATTGGTCGTACTGGAAAACTATCACCAACGAGATGAAAGATGATCGGCATGCAATGAACTCGCAACATTTGTGTTTTTGGGAGAATCGCGAGGCGATGAAATCGCGTAATGTATAGGCTGTATCAACATAACCAGCATCGGTTATGCGACGTCGCCGCTGCGGCAGTTTGTGACGATGCGGGTGACGCGTGCGAAATCTGTTACGCGCGAGAGCACGTCGCATGCGACCTTGCTTTCTCGCAAGGCATACCAGCGTGGAACCCATGCTGGTTGGTACAGCCTATATGCCCGGCTGTTTAAGAGCGAAAAAGGGAAACGAGGCTGAGAACCAAAGCTGGTTAACCGAATTCTGCTAATGCGTTCTTCTGGAAGTCTGGTATGTAGCAGCGAGGAACTTAAACATTTCTTTTGCGATGCCTAGCGAAGATTATGCTTTGTTCGTAATTATGGATGGGTATCACATCAGTGTCGCTTACTTTGCCTTTCGTAGGAGTCAACATAGCTGGCGTGGTAGTAGTCTCCTTTTCCGTATTCTTCGCTTAACCTTACTCGTGTTCTGTCCAAACAGAGAACATTAGGAAAGCGATTGAGTGTTGGGTTCATCAGGAAATCGTCAAATGAAGCAGGAGCTGCGACTACTTGTTTATGCCAATCTTTCAAGAGAGCCTTCTGCAAATCGATGTTTTTCCTTAAGCTTCAGAATAAACCTGGTATAACCTCTTCACAAATTTTCGCCACAAGAGCCGGAGGCTTGTACAGCTCTCTCGGAATGTTGCATAGTATTGCCTCTTCATCAATTGCTGAATCTGACGCCTCTTCCGATTCTTCTGCAATAGCATCTTCCTAATCGCAGTTTTAAAATGAATTCTGATGCTCACTTAAGTCAGACGGCTTTAAGTGATTAAACGTAAGTAAAGACATTGCACTTTACAACAGCAAACACTATGAAATGAACTCCACCACTATTTCACTTGAAGCATGTGCTTATCAAGCATGTGTACTCAGCCCAGCATTTTGGATCATTCGTCACTCTTTTGCGGTCTATCTAATGAATCTCTCGTAAAAATGACCTTACTTCTGATTAGAACAATTTAAGAAGTTTCCATTGAATACCACATTTTCAAGTGTTATGCTTAACCATAGCGAGTTTGTGCTTAAGTTGAAGTGACGGAACTGGTGCTTGATCTATGCTATGAAGCAATTTCTTCAAAACATGTGGGGAATATTAACTTCTCCTCACATTTCACGAATTCGGCGAAATGTTACCAAAATATTAGTTTGGGGCAATCTTTTGAGGATGTCTGGATTGCTCGCTGCTTCACCCATAAATTCCCGAGCTCTAATAGCTTCGCAACCATTGACAATTCTTCAAGATTAATAAATTATTTTGTATTTTTTCTCGTTTCCTAGTGAGATTACATCGGTCATCTCAGCGGCTAGAGGCGAATGTCAAGCAGTATCTATGCTGCCTATTTGAACCAAATATTTTATATATACCTACTTATTCAGATAATAAACCGTGTGAACTATGTGCCTCCTCACAAATGCAATATTAAACACAAGGTTGAACCAAAAACTGGCTGGGTGAAAAGCAGAAATAACTTTAATTTTGGTTTCAGTTTGGCTCTATCCAGGTTATAAATCATTCAAGATTCTCAGCCAATCAAAAACTTGGGATTAATGCGATAAAGATCTCTAGTAACTACTGAAAATGACGATGGCTGGAGATGTGTAGCCCAACAGAATAATAACAGGTTGTATTTTTTGGTAACGCGGGAATTTGAGATGATGCTTTGTTCAAGAATTAAGGTCCGTCCATAGTTGTCGTTAATACCCTAAAATCTCACAGATAGGGCCTCCCATCACACAAGTCCGTCTGCATACAAGTCAGACTTATCTGACAAGATTTTAGGTGGTCATAATGGAAAGAAAAAGGACTTTCCTCTGAGGAGGACTTATCTGAAGGTCCTTATACTGGTCAAAGAGGCGGACTTATCTATAAAGTTTTAGGAAATTGTTTGTTTTTCGAGCAACTCGCAATCCAGCAGCAGCGTATAACTTTGTTTAGAGCATCTTCCACTGGGATGCAGCATTTTCTTGTGTATGAATCTAGTACGATACGAAACAATTCTGAATCTTTGACCACATCGCCCCTGCCCATTAGGTTTTGCACTATGAGATGTTGTTGCGACCACCAAGCAGTTTTTCGATGGTCGTTACGAGCCATTGCACATCCTATGGCACATAGAACACTGACGGAACCGGTAGCGTGCATACGATTCGATTCTCTCGATAGTGCTCTATGCATTCGTTGTGGCTATGTTGCCCTTTAAAATGCAAATCACAGCAGAGCCATTGTCTGAAGCGAGCCTTCCCGCTCGTTTCGTTCTTTGAACGACTAGAACTTTCGAGAAAAAGTGATAGACCGATCGCAGCTGAATTTTACGTAAAACTCTGTACGTAAACTCTCATATGCCGCCTAAAAACTTGCAAATTCAAAATAGCTTTCCGTAAATCCATAAGGCTTCCAAACGCTTCGTTTAAGTTATGTGAATGCCATACACCGCAGCAACTGAGCTGCACAAAGGTGTATCGCATATACAGTTCCAACACGAATCTGTGCAATAAATTTCAAAATCTATTCAAGAATTGATCAAAAGCCTATCATATTCACCTCAAATTGATAATTTATTCAGGGTAAATATTGAAGGGAGAAAAGAATTTTGTGATTCCCTCAAATATGAAAGCATCCGATTGACAATAGTCAACTCTAAAGGTAGATTGGCTGTCCCCTTGTTTAGCAAAAAAAGTACCGAATGACTAACCAAAGATCGTAATTAATGTTGATGCCAAATCATACCTTCTACATACATCCATGTTCACAGTGCAAATTCGCAGCTCAAAAATTCAGCGTAGTGTTGGAATAAATCCAAATCTTCCTGCTGCGTTTACAATAGTTACTACGTTCAAGCCTCTCTGCTATCCAAACCTTACCGAGGTCGAGGATAATTATGATCTCACATACTAGGCTAATCCAAGCCTAAGAATGGCTCTACATTCTTGAGAAGTAACCTCCTTTTCTGAGTGTGCAACCACAAGAACAATTACGTGCTTTTTTAAAAATTTCGGTTCTGTACTTCCAGAAATCTCGATAAATTTTTGTGATTAAAAGCCCTCAGTATTTCTGCCTTTCATAAAAATAGTATACGAGTCAACGGAAGCTTTCACGAAAATTCTGAGGCAGTTACAATAATACAATAATTACAGTATGAGAACAGATGAATCACTCTCAGAAGATTCTATTCATATACTAATTGGCATGTCCGGCTTCGACCGCACCATGGACCTAACTGGCTCAAAAAAGAGCAAAGTTTGTGCGCAAGTTCAAAGGCCCAACTTATCTGCATTTTGGCTTGGTTCTGTTTATCGAACACTGCCTTCAATTACACCATCCCCTTCATCGTGAGACGTGAATGAGTTCTAACGGTATTGTTTGCACGAAGGTTGGAAGTGGTCTGATGTAATTGAAAAATATTCATTTTTTTCAAAATCGATAAATAGCCTACGGGATGCGGTGTTTAGAACATATGTGGGTAAAGTTTGGCGTCGATCGGACCACACACAAAACTTTCTATAATGCATACACCAACTAATAATTTATCAATACTCGGCTTTTTATAGATAGATATAGATTACTCTATATATAAGCGACTTATGACTCAAAATGAGCTAAGTGAGCGAATACGGAGCATTTATGAAAGCTTACTTACATTCAGTAGGGTCAACGCGTTTGTCAATTGTCTCCCAAAGCCATTTCTTCAACGATTTCCGGAAGGTTCAGTATGCCAGAAGAACGTGAAATCTTGAATTTTTTAGCCATTTTAGTCAATAAGGCTTTCCCACAGTTTAGTGAGAATGGAACTTATCAAACTGACTTTATCGGAAACGGTAGCGTAGAACTTGCTCCATGCAATGTGATCAAACAGATTTTCCTCTTATATCACTTTCCCTCTTCCAAGTCTCATTCAGTCGATCTAGCCATTTCACATAAGGATCTCGACAACGTATGTAAGACAAACCAGCTCTTCTTTCACCTTGTCACTTCTTTTCGCCTCATTTCAACCTTCACATTCAACGGAGCGATAATTTGCAACGTTCGCTGCCCGAACAGGGTCTTGTCGTCCTCATTTGAGTATCCGATACGGGTACAATACGCAAATCACCTCCGCATAAAACCTAGCAAGCGAATGTGCCGCTTTGGAAATGAGCCAAAAAGTGGCAACAAGTCCTGTTCGCCTGCCAGTTTTTTCCAGCTCACCAAAATTATGTTGATTGACAAAGGCAAAGGGGTGTGTCGCTGCTCTCGCTTTGCCCGGAACTCCCTTTTAATGCCCGCTTTTCCTAGTATGTTTACAGAAAAATATATTTTTGGCCATCGATTGGTCTCAAGCCTGAGTAGTGATCACGGTAGTAGATTATCAATGAAGCTTCATAAACTTTTTCTGGAAAAATCTATTCGCAATTATAATTTTACGGCAATATTTTGCTGAGGCAAGCTTGCGTTACTCCTCTGGATCTTTTTTTGACACAACGGAACCGAGGGGGGGGGGGGGAGAGGATGGCTTGAACCTATTGTCGGCTAAATGTGGAGCTTGCGCAGAATGCAATGCGCGGATAACAGTAGTTCGATTTTTTTTGATTTTATGGATTCAATGTGGAACTTGCTAGGGGATGCTTTCAATGCTCGACTTGTTTCGCTGACCTTAAACTTTATCTGTAAAAGAAGTTTCTGCGGGAATTTCTCTACTTTAGTTCAACTTCGACAGAGAACCAGCTCATAAGAAACTTTCATGTAGCACCAAAAATATCCTAAGAACTGACCGGAACTTCCGCAGAACGTTTGGAAAAGTTTCGCCGGTCACCTGTAGAAGTTCCGTGAACGTGCAGCGGAACTTCCGATGAATGCGAATAACAACAGCAAAATAAAACACCTAAGCGAGATTTGAACCTTACCCTATTTCGTTCCGCAGCGCTTAGTAAAAAGTCCTGCGGAAGTTTCCATTTTCAACCAGTCTGACGTGAAAATCCTGCAATTTTCCATTTTCAACGTTTCCACTTTTGCGATAGTAAAATCCTGTGGAACCGTTGCAAATCTTGCTTGTTCTGCGGAAGTTACGGTGAATTGTCTGAGCACAAAACATAACATGAGCGTAAGCTACCGCTACCCTACATTTTTCTGTTACCAAACCAAACTGGTCCGTTTTAGTTTGATGCGCAGCTAACAGTGCTATTACGCTTAAGTTTGTGATTGTAATGGAAATGCAATTTGCGTGATTGAAACGACTGCCATAGTTGACGGACATCGTACGTTTCTTGCATTCGAGAAGCGACTTCTGCTTTCACTTTACTCTCAGAAGAACGAAACTGACAGTCGCGTTTAATTGAATGTTAAGCTGGCATTTTAGCTGTTCCCTTAGCTGGTGATAGAGTGGAATATTTTTGTAAGTTAATTATTTTCAGCAAGCTTGCAGGAGGGTGTTGTCTAGCAATCAAGCCATTGTAAGTTGGCATAAAAATGGTAATACTGCTGAGATGTAATCTTTCCAATAAGGTATGCCTTCAAAATGCAATACGTAAACTCCCGCATGGAGGGAATCATTTTTGAATAATCTCAGCAATTCTAACCAAACTTCGCGAAAGCGCATCTGTACAAGGGCGGAAATTCTCAGGCTCACAATAGAGTAGGCCAATAAAACAAGTAGCGACTCTCCCCCTCCCCCCCCCCCCCCCCCCGCCTTTTCCTATCACTTTCTTCTTGCTGAAATGAGGTCTTTATAAGTTGCACCGTGACAGAAAAACTCGACCAAAAACAAAAAAAGGCAATCAAGCTGTGTCTTTGTAGAAAAGTGGTGCTGAATGAAGAAGT